AGGGAGAGAAATGACTCCAAAATCTTCTCAGTAAGATTACAAAGTAACACTAAAGTTTTGAACTCTACTTTTTAATGATTGGCTTTGCTTATCACTGAATTTTTGTTTTGTTTTTCCCTCTAGTTTCAGAAAATTACAGGCGATGCTAGAATTCCTTTGTCTGTTGACTCCTTCCCTGTACCAGTTTCTACTCAGGAGGCCTTAGTAAATTCTAGAGACAGCCTGGGAGTCCCAGCCACCGAGCAGCAGCAGGAGCCTTTTGAAGATATCATTTCTAGAACAAGTTCTTTAGCAGATGTGATTTCTGGAACTGGAAGTCAAAGAAAAGAAGAGGAGTTTTCCAGAAAGAGCAAATCTTCTTCAGAGAAAATGACCAAAACAGGTGAATATACCAAAAAACACTCTGCTAAGAAACAACTTGGAAAAGATCTGCATTCCTACTCTGACTCTATAAACCGGAAAAGCAAAGGAATCAGGGAAATTAGTTCTTTGGTTAATGAACCAATTAAAAGTGAGTCTTTGAAACAATACATTTCTGTCAAGAAAGAAAGTAGTATAGTGACTGTTTTATCCAAGACAAATACAAGTAAATCCAATCCACTAGAACATTCTGAAAGTGATACTCTTGGATCTGATTTTGATTTTCAAGAAAGCATCCATTATCACGCCTGACATAGGTCTAAATCTTTTGAAATTATGTTTTGCCTTTAAATTTTAATAAATTTGTGTATGTTTTTATTATGGCATATGGTGTCTTTAAATATAGGATTGGAAGCCATTAAAGGAAGATTTATCTTTACTTTTTATCATAATGAAACTTTTGGTGTATTTTTCCTTTGACGCTTTGCACAATTCATTCAACAAGTGTTTCCTGAGGGCCTGATACGAACATACTACTACTGTGGGTGCTGTGGCCTTCAGCAATGAACAAAACAAAGCTTTTACCCTCATGGAACAATATTCTGTGGAAGGGAAAAGAAAACAAAGCAGGGTAAGGTGAATAGAAAGGGATGGGAGTGAATAAATGGAATAGTTTTACCATTTGGTTAAATATGGGAATATATATGGAATTCTCAGCCAGAAACCATTGACATCCTAATTCCTAACCAGAGCAGCAAACATGTTACCCAGATGCTTAACCATGTTTGTGGATTACAGCAACGCTTTAAGATGGGGAACTATGATTATGCCTGTTTTATAGATTAGGAGTATAAAGAGACAGATTATAGGACTTACCGAAAGTTGCACAGCAACCAGATCCCATGCTCTCAATCTGTTGCCTGTTTCACTATTAAGAGAGGAACTGCTGAAGGAAGATGCTGAGTGAAAAGCCGACAAACACTGGAAGTACAAAGGAGAGGGGCTATCAGAAAGCATACCCCTACCCTATCTGGGTAGAGTTTTT